TGGCCCCAAAGCGAGCTCTGGGCTGATGGTAGGGGTTCTTGTCTGTGTTGGGGGTGAGGGGAGGAGCCAGACCCAAGGTCTCTCCAAACCCCAGCTATGCCTGAGTCATTTCCACTAACACAGAGGAAATGGGGGGTAGGGTGGGGTTGAAGGATGAAAAAATGTCTGGTGTCTTTGCTGGCTGGAAGGAACCTAGAACACAGGGCAGCCAGCCCCTCTCCCTTCACCCAGCACTCAGGTGTGGAGGCCTGCCCTCTCCTAAGCCCCTTTCACCTGTCGCCTCTAGATGGGGGTCATAGTTGGCCGAGAACGCTGCCTGGTGATGTTCCTCCAAGGCTGGCTGCTGGTTTTCTGTTGCTTAGGATGTTCTGACCACTAGAAGGGGGGGTGTGCCACTGGCTTTTAAAATCCTTGCTTTGGCTGTATTTTTATTTTGAGGAAAATAAATTTACAGGAAACTCTCCAGAACTTGGGGGGCACCTACCCCAAGGCTAGGCACGTGTCCCGGGTTTCGGGTGGGCTGTGTCTGTGTAGCTCCCAGCTGGTCAAGGCTGACTGGCTTTTTCTCATCAAGTTCATGGGTCCTTCAGCTTGGAAGGGTGAGGCGGGGGATGTTGTGGCCCGAAATCGGGAAGTGGGTGCTAAGACAGCCGGGGGGAGGAGGTGGAGGAGGCTGGGACGTTGGTAACGCTGGGAGCCACAGGCTAAAGCATGTGGCTGCTCCAGGAAAGAACAAAGACTGAGAGCCCGGCCGGAAGACAATGGCTTCCCTGCTCTCAATTTTATTTCAGACCTGGGGCCCCTGGGGCCCCTGCTAGGTGAGCTAGTCTGCAGTACATCCAGTGCCTCTGCCTCCCGACTTCTGCCAAATATGCCTCTTTTCCCACCATTCGACTGCTTTTCCACTCTCCCCATTCCCCGCCCCACCCCCCACCCGGTTCCTTCCTTCAGGGTAACTTCCCCATCCTGCGGCAGTCCTGGGCTCTGTTCCAAACACCCTTTCTGGACTCCCTAGGTGGTTTATGGATCCACAGAGAACAGTCCCGTGACCTTCATGAACTTCACCGAGGACGCTGTGGAGCGGAAGGCGGAAAGTGTGGGCAGGATCATGCCTCACACAGAGGTGGGCCCCAGACCCCACCTCCCACCACTCGCCTGGGGTTCACCCCCTGGGATGTTTATTGCTTTCAATTAGAGATCCAAACAGCTCACTCAAGACGCTGAGAGCCCGCAGCAGCAAGGTCTTCCCGGGCCTGGGGCTTTCTCTGTGGGCTGAGGCCTGGGCGGGAAAGAGCTGGAACAGTGGCCAGCCACAGCTGAACTTCTCTGCAGCCTCCCTTCCTGTCTGAGGTGTGTTTTTGCCAAGCCCACTGTCTGTTTTGGGGCAGCCAGAACAGCCTCAAAGAGGATCCAGGGCACAGAGATTTTTCCTACACAGCTCTTTCTCTCCCATAGCCCTGCCTCCCCACCCGCCCCCACTCACTTTGGCAGAGGTCCTCTTTTCGCTTGGCATAAACAGTTTCCCAAGCAGCTTTTTCCTCTGGGGGTCCCTTGCACCTTGAAGGCTGACGCAGAGCACCTTTCGCTCTCAAATTCCCAGCCTCTAACACTGGTGCTTTATGCCAGCCCGTACCTGGTTTCCCCTCCCCCCTTGTGCCCTTGCCCCTCTGGGGTCACTGCCAGAGTGCTTCCCCAGGCGCCAACTGCCCTTCTCCCTGAAGTGAGTGTGCAGTGACATCAGCCCCCTCCCATGTGTCTGACAGCCTCACTGCCACTCCCTGGGATGCCCACCTGTGAGGTAGACAGGGCAAGTGTAGTTCTCCCCATTTCACAGATGCATACACGAGGCACACAGGCTAAGCTTTCCTTGCACGTTGGCTGTGGCTCATTTCTCAACTAGGCTTTCAGATTCTGCCTGTTTGCTACCTCTTCTGTTCACATGGCCCTGCTGTGCCACCCTCTTTGGCTTCTTTATTTACTGCTTAATGGGAAGTAAGAGGAGACTCCCCTTTCTTGTGCATTGTTTATAATTCTTCAGCTGGCCTGGCTCCCCCCCAGGCTTCCTCCTCTGAGCAGCTCCCTTCCACTCTGTTCCCTCAGCACCTCCTGGCCTGGGCCTCAACTATTCTTTCATGCCCAGCTCCAGTGTCGGACTGGTGATGGATCTACTCCAGCCTTTGTCTCCCTTCCCTGGGGATGGGCAGAGCCAGGGGGATTCATTACTAGGGGGAAGGAAGGCAAAGCTCCCCCCACATCCTGAGGGCCCACCATCCTGAAGTGAGAGGGTGGGAGGCCCCAGCCTGAAGCTGCCTGGTCCCAGGCCCAGATCGTGAACATGGGGACGGGGACACTGGCAGAGCTGAACACACCTGGAGAGCTGTGCATCCGAGGGTACTGCGTCATGCTGGGCTACTGGGGTGAGCCCTGGAAGACCGAGGAAGCAACTGGACAGGACAAGTGGTACCGGACAGGGTGAGAAGGCAGGGCAGTGTGGAGAGTTGGGCTGCCGAGGGGAGGCTGTGGGTCCTGAGGCTGAGCTGGCAACATTGAACTAGAACAGGGAGAACATGTGTGTCAGGATGGCCCCTTCACATCTCCGAGACTTAATTTCCAAAATGTATAAAATAGGGATGACCATAGTCTCCAAATAGGGCTCCCAGAAGGACCAAATGCAGCACAGATGAGAGCACCTGGGACAGTGCCTGCAAAATCTGAGCCAAGATTCAGTCACTCATTTAATTCAACAAATTCTTATTATGCACCTGCCACGTGCCAGCACGATTCTAAACGCCGGTGGTCGGTCCAGTGGAAGGCACAATGGGAAGGTCCTGCTCTTACTTCCCACATACCTGGTGGAGGGAGACAGATACAAACAAGATCATTTCAGACATTTATAAACACGAAGAAAATAAAATAGGGTCATAAGAGAGAGAGTGGCTGTGGTGGGGAGGGGAGCTTCCCTTTACTGGGTGATCAGAGGCTTCTCTAAGGTGGAAACGTTTGAGCTGAAACCTGAATGATAAGAAGCCAGCCATGAAAATCATATGTATAGGTATGTTTAGAGAGAGAGAAAAAATATGCCATAGGTATGGGTTTACTTGGTTTTATCTGCCTCCTACATGAGACTATACGATCCAAGTAATGTCTTGTTCATGCCGTATGCTCCAGAGCCTAGAGTAGTGCGAGACATATAGTAGGTGCTTGATAAATTTTTGCTGAATGAGTGAGCGAGCCAGCCAGATGAGGCAGAGTAGAGAGGCGGCTCCTGGGCTTTCCTTGCAGAGACATTGCCATGATGGACGAGCAGGGCTTCTGCAAGATTCTGGGCCGCTCCAAGGATATGATCATCCGCGGCGGTGAGAACATCTATCCCGCTGAGCTCGAGAACTTCTTTCACACACACCCACAGGTGCAGGAAGTGCAGGTGAGGCGCCCAGCCCAGGTGAGCCCCCAAGAGCAGGGGACACGGATGGGGATGGGGATGTGTGATATCTGTCTCTGACTCTGGAAGGTGGTAGGAGTGAAGGATGAGCGGATGGGGGAGGAAATCTGTGCCTGCATTCAGCTCAAGAGAGGGGAGAGGACCACAGTGGAGGAGATCAAGTCTTTCTGCAAAGGGAAGGTGGGGCCCTCAACCCACCCCAAGCATCGCGATGTTGCTCAGTTCTCCAGCCCTCTGCCTGCCAACCTGTCAGCCCACTGCCCCCTACACCCAGCTGTGGGACCCCGCCCAGCCTCATGCCGTATCTCCCTCTGGTCTGCAGATCTCCCACTTCAAGATTCCCCGATACATCGTGTTTGTCACAAACTACCCCCTCACCGTCTCAGGAAAGGTGTGTAAGGAGACCAGGGAGGGGTAGGGGAGCCCGGGGCCCAGGTGCAGAAGGTCAGGCGGCCTGCCTATACCTCCCTGAGCGGTGGGCCAGATTCTGTTGAGAGGCTGGCAGTAGGGTAACCAACTAGTCAGCTCATCCTGGTTTGCCCCAAACTTTCCTGGCTTTAACCTGAGAAACTCCTCAGTCCTAGGCAAACCAGCTGGGCTTGGTCACCCTAGCTGGCAGAGGCCCACGCCTGGTTCTCACTCCTTTCCCTTTCCTCTAGGTCCAGAAATTCAAACTAAGAGAGCAGATGGAACAACATCTAAACCTGTGAATAAAGGAGTGGGGAGGATCCTTCCTCCCTGCCCTTCCCCTACATTCCCCTTATAGGCTCTGTGATTTGGCATAAAGAGCTTCTCTGTTTACTTTGGCTGCTCTCTTGCTGGCGTGCTCTCTTGGCAGCTGCTACAGGATGGAGAAGGGAAGAGACCAAAGCACTTTCAGACCTCCTATTCCTTGTCAACGATGGTACTAAGCACTTTGGCGTGCATTATCTGCTTCATTTAATCCTCACTCGATTCCTTTGAGATACCAACACAATATTTTTTAGGGCTACACTCATTTCTTTTTCACATTGTTGTCAGATTAGGACAGCAAGAAGTATTCTTTTATTAAAAAAAAAAAACAGCTTTATTGAGTTATAATTCACATACCACCCGATTCACCCATTTAAAGGGTTACATCAGTGGTTTTTAGTATATTCACAGATATGTGCACCCGTCACCAAAGTCAATTTAAAAAATGTTCATCACCTTTTAAAAAGAAACTCCATACCCTTTAGCTATCATCCTACATCCCCCTACTCCTCCATCCCTCCCAACCAACCCAATTTTCAGTGAACCTGGGGCTTCCTTGATGGGCAGAAAAAGCAGGATAAAGCAGGCTGTAGCTTGACCCAAGAAATAAAAACAGCTGAGCACAGCGATTTCCAGTTCACAGAGACAGAAAGAAAAGTTCCTTCTGCTTGCAAGCCTTACCTCCCAGTGTGTCTGGCCCCAGCAGCAGCAGCAGCAGCCTCCTCTTTACTTTTTAGAAAATGAACATAAATTTAGGGTATTCTGAGTGCCAGGCACTATACACATACAGGTGCATCCATATACATTTCTTGTTGAAATTTTCCCAATGACACCGTCAAGTAGGCATTAGCCCCATTTCACAAACTATAAACTGAAACTCAAGAAGTTCAGTGACTTGCCCAAGGTCACACAACTGGAATTAGGGAACCCAGGTGACTGACTCCAAAGCCCATGATCCTTCCACTTTCTGGGACAGTTCTTCAGGTGCCTGCTTGTCCAGCCCTTCACCTGAACCCTGTCTGTCCCACATACAGCATCTCTGACTCTCCTCACAGCAGGTGCCTGGGGTTGGCCTGACCCAGGAGATGACAACCTACTCTCCTGGCCAAGCCCATTCCCCCTGGGATTTTCTGCTCTTGCAACATTCAGTCCAACTGCCCTGTCCTACCCCACTGATTCCACATCCCTTGTAACAGACCCGCCTCGCGGCACGGAGCACACCGGCCTGGTATCCAGCAAGTGCTGAATTAAAATCGGTTGCCTGTTGACTCTTGTTGGTTTACGTCCTGTCTCATGAACCTGTACTGTGCCCTGGTCTTATGCATCTGGATATCCCCGGCGCCCAGCTCTGAACCAGGCACATAAAATGTGAAGGAACCCATTGAACGAACGAAGAGTTCCTGGATTGATCCAGGAACTCGCCTTCGACGGGGTGCCAAAAGCTGCGGAGCTCCCCGCGCCCCTGCCGCCGCCAGAGAAAGGACGGCCGGGCGGCTGCGGTGAGCGCACCGGTGCCCAGCAGGTGGCGCTGCGGCCCGGAGCCCTCTCGGCGGCGCTCCGACACAGGGCGCGGCCACGCAGCCCCTTTCCTTCCGCCTGGGCGGCCCACCCGGCCCGGCTCTGCCCGGGCGGCTGCGGTGAGCGCACCGGTGCCCAGCAGGTGGCGCTGCGGCCCGGAGCCCTCTCGGCGGCGCTCCGACACAGGGCGCGGCCACGCAGCCCCTTTCCTTCCGCCTGGGCGGCCCACCCGGCCCGGCTCTGCCCACCCCGGACGCTTTGCCCTGGGTTCGTCTCGATCTCGGGTCCTGGCCCGCGCACCGGGCCGCCCCGCCACAGCGGGCGGCACGGCGCTCCCCGGTGTTCGGGCCCGCGGCTGGGTGAAGGCCGCCAAGATGGCCCAGAGGCGCCGCCTGGCGGAGGACGCGGGAGGACCCCGGGGTCCTGCGCCCGGGAGCCAGCGCGCGGCACTTTACGTCCACGTGAGTGGGGAGGGGAGGAGGAGGCTCGGGCGCGGAGGGCCAGAGGCGAGGAGGCGCTTGTCGCGCTGCGAGCCCACCTGCCGTCTTACCCCTGTACCAGACGAGGTCTGGGACCCTTTCGCTGGCAGGGTAATGTCTTGGTCCGGAGACCTGAAGTCTTTGGTGCTCACCATCTCGTTGACCTTGACTAAGTGATTTCCCTTCTGAACCTCAATTTCCTCCTATTGAAGTGGGCTTACTAATCCCCTTGGGGAGTTGCGTGGCTTAGATGCGGTAGCCACTGTTGACTGACCTAGGAATGGGGATGGGGATGTGTGCGACTGAACCCTGGAAGTGGCCAGGGCAGCCCAAGGTCGTCTCTCGTCCAGTTCACACGCCCTCTGCCCCCAGTGGCCCTACTGCGAGAAGCGCTGCAGTTACTGCAACTTCAACAAGTACATCCCCCGCGGCGTGGACGAGGCTGCCATGAGACGCTGTCTGGTGACCGAGGCTCAGACGCTGCTGCAACTCAGTGGGGTGGAGCGGTGGGTACTGGGGGCTGTAGGAGGGGTCTCGGGAATTATGTGGCCGGTGCATAGGACAGGTGCAGGCATCCCGTAGGGCTCCCCCACGTCTCATATCCATC